TACCCTCAGTATCACCAATCGGTCCTGGGGCTATGCCCACCACACGGATGCCTTGGGGGCCCCACTCGTTGCACAATGTCATAGTCATGGAGTCTAGGTAACATAAAGCCCAAATAAAATGGTTAAGTCTGGCGTCACGATTTTCAAGTTTTCAAAAGCAGTGACTTAAAACTACGGGTGGATTCTTTTGCAGTGTGGCAGTACAATGCTTACCAATCGCTGCCTTTGCTGCATTGACATGGATCTGAAGAAGCCGGCCTCGATAAGGCAAAGTGGCAGATATGTTGATGATCACTCCTCCGTGATCCTACAGAAAAGAAAACAAATTTTCCAAAAAGTGGTTCTTATTTTTGTTAACTTTAATGGAACCACTATTTGCAAACAAATCTGCGTCACTAACAGACCTGCCTGCTCACCATTGAACATGTTATGCTAAATCGTCCTGAATTTTTTGGCAGCTCTGGATAGTGGATACCAATTGCAAATAACGGAAATTACTATTCAGGATCCAGTAGGGAGTTCTGGCGTTCTCCAACATGGAAATTGGAAAGTTTTTTATTTTGGAACCATCCGTTAAATAGATAGCCGTGAGTACATACTTAACAAGACACTTTTTACTTACAGCTAGCTGGTTTGCAATTGGTGTCGGAGAACCAAATTGGCAGTGTGAAAAACAACCGTGTAGTCCATTGTCAAGAAATGGGTTGGGCCGTACATCGTACAGTTTTAGAATCAACAATATAAAATATTTCAGACAACTTATTTTTGTCTTCTTAAGCCTTATGCTGCTGTCATTCCCTTCTTCATTTGTCTAACCGACCAGTTTCTTGATCACGATAACCAAAAAGATACAATAGATGTTGGCAACCTTGGCCTACCTTCATATACTTGTCATAGACAGCCTTGGAGATGTTGAATGATCCCATGACATCAATGTCAAGAACTGTCTTGAAACCGTTGAAGGAGATTTTGCTGGCAGGCAACGGGAAATTTCCAGCGGCTCCTGAAAAACGGGTATTGTGGAAGCATTCACTTGTGTCTGGCTCAAGGCTTTCAAGAGTGAGATATAGATTAATTCTACAGGCCATCCCACATGCACAGCAAGAGGCAACAGCTATCCCAAGAATGATCTTACACTGCGTTCATCCTAACATCAAAGGCGCACTTGCTGCTATAGCCAATAATCCGCTGATTGACACATGATGGTGCATGAATGAGTTTTGCACGGCTGGAACGGATACGTGAAATTTGTGTGTATATTTACCATTGATGAGGACGTCGATTCTCCCATAGTGACTGAGAGCTTGGTCAACACTTCGCAACACTTCCTCTGGCTATTCGGTAGGAAGAAAAAGGATGAAATGGTTACGCTTATCTACTTAGAACATGATCCCAAATATTGTCACAAATGCTTTTCATATTTAAACTCAGTATAAAGATATCACCAAAACTTAGTAAGTTTAGGATTACATTCTTGCCTGGCAGCTGTAGATCTCGCAGGGAAAGGATTGAAAATCTATTTTTGTGGCTTGAGTGTCTCAGGATTTAATTCAACAAGCTACAAAAAGAAATGGGTTGGCCTCCAAATTACCTTTCTGACGTCAACTTGAAGGGGCAGACATCTCTGTCCTGTGGCAGTCTCGAGTCTCTTGGCTGCCTAATGAACACAAAGGAATGTCACAAATAAACCTTTTATGAAAGTCACCTCCAAGAAAGGTTAGAGACCCATGGGGATACGCAACACAGTCAGTCCAATTCAAGGACTGCAAAATACTGAAAATATACAAGTTACACTGTGCCTTCTTGCATGTGGTCTTAAAATGATCAGGCGATTTGAGAAAACGTACCTCTTTCAACCTGTTCAAATTTCTGCTGGCAATAACTGTGTCACATTGATGCCTGTAAAAAGTAAACAGAGGACACAGCACTAAGTAAGCAATTTGCAGATGCTAGGAGCAGGTTACCAGCTAATAAGCCAGGTAGGCCTAAGTGCTGCTAGCAGTATTATTGTTGGATGAAAATCATTTGTTGCAGTTTTCATAGTTTGGGTTTTGATGTTTCACTACTTCACCTCATGAATACTTCTGCAACGGTGAAGCAAATTCCCGATCCACCACCTGTGATAAAGGCGACCTTCCCGCTGAAAGAAAAATACCACCAAATGAATCCATTAAAGATTTAAATTCTCACGGTTCTTGTACAGTTCCGTCTGATCAAATGGAACTCTCCCCAACGCACGGACTATCAGCGCGGGATTGGAACTTACCGTAAAATGTCGGGCTTGAAAACATAGTCGTAACTGGTCAAACAAGCATCTAGCGTTGAGTCGGCCATTTGCGTTTTAACTTCAGACGCAAGCGGTATATGCGACGAACTCGATCACGACCAGGACCCAACTAACCCACAACGCAAATGCAGATGCAGGTACTAGGTGGCCAGGAAGCTTGCCCTATGATCTAGATGTTATAGTTCAGTTTGTTATAGCTGGCTTGATGCTACGAATGAATCGTATCAGATAGAACGTGTGTGCATGTGCCTACATTATCTTTAGAAATACATCCCACAATGTAGAGCGAAGTTCATCGGCATTGGGTATTTCTCAAGCGAAGTCACAAGTTGTGCTTGTGGTGTCGGTTTTGAAGGACAACTAATACTTGCAGTGCTGTACCAGGTGAGGGGGGGGCCGTTGAGTCAGAGAATGATGAGAACCTGGCGTATATACCACCGTATACTTAAGGCTGTCTTGCCTATTGTTAGTAGTCTTAGTCACAGTCAGCGGACGAGGTCGAAGGGACGGGAACGAGCGACGGAGAGGGGGAGAAATCCGAAGTATCAAACAACTTTCCTAATTATGCGGGGTCGAAGGGTAGGGGTGGGGAGGGTGAGACAGTCTAGGCTCTCCAGGAAGGGTTTCACCATCAGAAGAAAAAGCAGTTAACTCATAAAAATGCGCAAGCGCACGCATTAGTAAGTGACAGACCACGAAGAGAAACTCGAGGAAACAGCTTCTGTATTCTGAAATCACTTGGGCGTCTCTATCACATGTACGTCAAAAGAATTACTTAAATTTAGTTCATACCTCACTCGCTGGTCAGAAGGAGTGACTCCAGTCGCTGTAACTAGCTTATATGCGTTCTATAATGCTGGTTTGCAGGATTAGTTGTTACTACCGTTGCTTCAGTAATTAGGCTGGGCCGGCTGGTCGAAATTAACTTGTGCAAACTAGTTACGCTGATCTCGCGTAGCAGTTCTTTCCTCGCTTTGCACCAATGAGGCCCGGGTTCGAGTCCCGGCTTGGCCCAGGCTTTAAGTGCATTTGGTTTCCAGTCCATACTCGCTCTCGCAGGTTTTCTCCGGGCACTCCGGTTTCCTCCTGCTTCTAAAACTGGACCTCCTTCCTAACTCCGTAATGTGATGCTGATTAATAAAGGTTATGAATAAATGTATAGTTATTGGCACAAATAGCCTGAGTTGCTGAAAGCGCCATTAAAACAAAACAGCAACAATAACAACCTATAATCTCGTTCTCACGACCTCATCTCCATGTGACTCGCCGTAATGACACATGCTATGAACTTTACTATCCGCGGACAACACTGGCAACAGGATGAGGATGAAAAAAGCAGATGGTAATTTTCTTATTAAATTATACGTCGACTTAGAATGACATACATTGATATTCTCCTTATGCTAGCAAAACGGCATAAGATGGTGATTATAGTCACCGACATCTACGACAGGTTTTAGCTGTTAATAATCTATACCGTTGGAGGTACTCGAATTTGGCCGACGATGTGCAGTTCATTCAAAATGAGTTATAAGTGTCAGGAAAGTGACATGGATACCGCATGATGTACGTCAAATGTCAAGAAATTGGTCTCTGTGTGAGAAAAGAAGACGTTCAACTGATATTGCAAGAACGGATGAATCAGATGATTCGAACCAGCCGACAGCGGCAAGCTCGGTGGTCGAATGGTTAAGCCGTCCGCACTAGTAAGGAGGAGGTCGTGGGTTCGAGTCCCACCTGAGTACGCTTGTCCTTTTTTTCACAAGTCTTCGGGGGCATACACTGAGTATACAGTGTTAAAATACACGTCGGGGAGGGCAAAAATCTAAAGTTGAGTGGTTGGAGCGCTATCCATTGTAGGGGGCGCCCCACGTTCACTTCACAGACATCGCCCAGCTGAGCACGCGGAATGTGGTGACAACGTGCTCAGCTAGGTGGGTTACGGATCCGCCCAGCTCAGCACTGCCGTCCAGCTGAGATTGTTACATGGGTCCAAAATAGAAATTAAAGCCAAATTGGAAAGGCTGCAGGAACCAGCTGGTATGCACTTCAGTTTGCGGTACTTGTTTTTGCATACCATTTTGAGCCCAAAAGTAAGGAAATAAATCACAATACCTGAGGTGAAAGATTGTTATATTTAAAGGGCCCATGAAACGTGGTTTTTATTTGTTTGAATGAAAGATAATATGTTTAAAAAAGATGTCCTGTCAGTAAAAGTTATCGCCTCAATTATGAAGTATGAGAAAAAGAGTATAAAGATTTTTTACGAAAGGCTCTGCCCCAAGAGAAACATCTTATTAGCATAGAAATTTTGCATAATTGTGACATACGTTTGAGAACCTACGTCGGTCAGCGTCGCCGCGCCGGCGCTAGCACTGTGTGTTTTCTGTGCAGTTCGTGCGAAAACGCGATTTCGAGACCACCAAAAGTTTGATACAATACTAGTCAATTTTGTAGAGAATGCCGACCAGGTCCGTTGCTGCAGTTTGTGGCAACACAAGTAGGGTAAAGATAGCACAAGTATGCACAATTTTCCGAAAGATGGGAAATATCGGAAAATTTGGACGGCTCACAGGGGAAGGTGGACAGAGCCATCGCCGAACTCTTAGCTATGTGAAGCAACCACTTCATGGGCCCTTGCGCATGCACATGCGCATGGGCCCGTTAACAGTAAGGTAAAACTATTTCTAAAGCGAAACAAGAAAGTTAAAAGCACTTAAGAGTACATCAACAAAGCTGAAAACGGTTAAATAAGAAAGCATTTACGAAAATTGTAAACCTCAATACAAAAACATCTACATATAGAGCCAACAATACGCCTATTCAGTTTTACATGTCAAGATCACAGATGATCTATCATAAAGCAAAGGGGAATAACGATTAAGAAAATGAGTCATGCGTATCAATGCATTCAACCCTCATTTCACATGGCAACCGTGCAGGCTTTCATAATAACAAGAAAAACAGAAGCACTGGGGAAGGGCATCAATATTCCGAAAAATGAAAGAAAATCACGCTGCAAAAGTACTGGATGATATTTTTAAAAAGGTTCCAAGTTTTAAACAATAGTTTTTATGTACTTCAGTGAAACGAAGTCAAGCTGGGAACTTGTGATTTTTTGGTGGGAGGGGGAGCATTTGAATCTGAAGTTTAAAGAAATGAACATAGATACAAAAGTGAGTCTTTGATGGGCTGTACACTTGATATAAGACACTGGTGCAGCCCAATAACTAGGACAAAAATGAATATCACAATCACGATATTTCAAAGACAACATTTTCTATCGTTCAGCAGCAATCCCGGCCTCCAAAACCCACTCAACCTAAATCATGACTTTTTTGATAGTGCATATAATTAACGAAATGTCGTGGTAAGATGTGTACGTCCAGGGAAGATCTGGGACTGGGTCACAGATGTGCGCAACAGGTCGACGGGCCAATCCATAAAGCTCTTTAAATTTCACGTCGATCTTAGGAACAGACATTGTACTGGAAGAATAGAAAATAAAATCTGCCATAGAAGTGGTTAACAAAATCTAGAAATTTTCTGTGTACCAATCAGTGCAACATTGAGATTCAGTGCCTTGGATGCCATCATAGTTCTGCTCATGAATATGCAAATATGCATTAGCGTAAAACAAAAAACAAATCAAAATATGGGTTAAAATTGCAAACAAAAAGATGCAATTTCAAGGGTTTTAACATTTATAAAAACACTTCTATTTCCTGGTTTCATTAACCCTTAGAAGTTGTCAATTAAAAAAATAAATAAAAGAAAAAATGTACTTGTATCGTTTATCTTTTTGGGGGGGAAAGCACAATAATGCATGCGCTAAGTGATAACGAGAAATTACGCTTTGTTACTTATAGCAACGACTTTTTGGGGGGTCATAATTGCTCTAAAGTAATTTAAATGGCCCATTATCTTTTTTCTTTTTGGCACCAAAGCGTGTAACGTAGACACAGACTTTTCTTATTGGGTAGAGGTTTGAGTACAGCTTTAATGCATGAGTACAGCTGGTGAAGTATATGGCAATAATCCAACAAAAATTCCTTTTCACAGGAATGTTCCCAGATAGCAAATTTGGGATTCACAATTTGAACATGAAAACATGCAACTTGAACCATGTTTTCCTCGATTTACGTCACAGCAAAAGCGCCCTCACTTGTCCAGAAATGCTTGGTCAATTTTTAATGTTTGAAAAAGTGCACCGTTCAGTTCACGTAACTAAAAAAAAAGTCAAACAGTCTTCATACATGGAAGAAGAGTACAGAGATACACAAAAAGTGATTCTAAGAAAAATTCATTTCCTGGTTCCTTTAAGTACGGTTCTTTCGGCCCCACTATTCCATTCGGTGGATACAAAATGTATGGCAGTGGAAGAGAAGAGTGTTTTTTTTGGGGGGGGGACAGAAAAAATATCAAAGTGTTTCGTAACTTTCTCTTCGTTTATAATAAAAAATTCTGCATGATGTACTGTAAGAGAATGTGACATTTCTCCAGCTGGGGAGCCTGATGCCATGGCATTTGAGTGCGTGTGTCAACGCTGAAAGAGGAGTCGCTCCATTAATGTTTGCTTCAGTGCAGATAAATCCCATATATTAATCACCCTTTGAACTGACATAAAACCTGCCCGGTGGTGCCTATGCTTTGAACTTTGGAATCAAGCATTTCTTACATTGTCTGTAATACAGACTGCTCATATAAATATGTTACTACTACTGAAAGTCTATGAGAAAGTTAACGCAGAGGAAAAAAATAATTAAAAAGGGGAATAGCAGGAGAAATGCAAAGAGGACGGCAAAGAAATTCAAATCACCAACTTGGAATTTGAATCGACCCCTTTCCACCGTTCATGGACCGCCTGTTTGCTGCTGGTAGGTGCCCCCCGGAAAAAATCCAAGTGGGTTTTTCATGGTGTGATGCCCTTTGTGATAAGACCAGCTTTGATGTTAGTGAATATCTAAACATTCATTGTGTTGACTGAAATCTCGTCCTTGCTCTATGCTTAAACTGACAGCGTGAATGTCTCACCATTTTATTGCATTTCGTGGACTTGTACTTTGTCCATAGAGTCGCTCCGAATCTTAGCCACAATGAATCAACTGCAGGGCTCAGATTCAGCCAAATGTTGCAACCGATAATGTGGTATGCGACGCATCACCAACCATTAATGTATGATCAGCAACCGGCAAATTGACAGGGAGAAGACTTTCTAATCGATAAGAATACCGTCTGCTGACAGAAAATGCCCAACCCTTAATGTATCCCCTGTCGACGGATAATGTATCAAATGACAAAATAATCGGCCGATCAGGGGTGTAAGTCCCGCAGGAAGGGAGTATCTCCCTACTTCTTCTTCACCACCACCACCACCACCGAATCGAATCATCTTGTGCAAATCTCTGTAATACTTTTGTTAGGTAAATCAATCCCGTTTTACTCGAGGAGTTAAGTTCATTTGAAGCAAGATATGGGACGGAGAGACCCCCCCTTGGTGTTGGTCATTGTTTGATCGGAATCACTGGAATTCTTTACAGACTTTTAGGGGGATGTGTTAGGTAACAATAGTCTACAGTGTGTATAGGGATTGGACAGGTAAGGGGGGTACCCCTCCGTCCCATATCTTGCCTGGTATAGTTTAGTTGCACTGCAAAGAAAACATGGCCTACACATAAATTTCTCAATATCAAGGAATAGCACAAATTACACCGATCACAGAAGAAAATTTAAAAAATGGATACAATATCCTCACCAGCGAGATGTATGCATTCTATTGTGTTGCAGTGAATTTTGAGGAAAGGTTCGAACACAATGATCAAAATGTTCGACGTAAGACGAAACTGTTTTCTTAACAACGCAGCTCAGCGCAAGCGAGATGAATAGAACATTCGTCGGTCAGTATGGTGTTCATGCTTAGAATTCGCTTGACTGACATCTGAAATTGTCTGACATATAGCCTGAATCGATTTCATTGGACGAAATCGAAAATACACATTTTTGAAATGTAATAAAAATCGTGTTAAAATATCCGGGAAAAATCTACATTTTGTACTTCCCAACAACCCAAAATTTTCCATTTTACGGAAAAGGGAGAAAAGGTACGGTACAAATGCGCAGTTTTATGTAAGGTTTAGGGTTGTAAGTATATGAGATGTTCATCCGTATTATGAACAGCACACCCCTCCCCGACTTTTTGAATTTCTTGGGCTGGGATGTTTTCTTAAAGTCCTCCATCCCCCAGTCCCCGGCACAGATTTAGTGTAGAGAAAGGTCAGTTAAGTGCCTCCAGATAGTGGCTGCTTAAAATGTAAAAAGCTTGACTTGACCTTCCACCCACTCCACTTGACAAACTTGACCCTCCGGTTCTTTTCAGAACCACACATACTCATAAAAGAGGTATCCTTGCAGGGTGCTATACCGCAAACCTCGATAACTAACTTGCTACCTTCATCACTAGTGATAAGCTTCAAAGCTCATAAGCTTGACCAAGTATTCTAAGAGTTGGTGTATTACATTATACCTATGCAATTTTGTTTTGTTTCTCCACCTTTGATCCCAACCAAGGTTTAAAGCTTATACATGTGTTCCTTACGAATTATGTATAAATGTAGAAAATCAAAGAAAGGTCATATTAAATTGGTATCTCTCCACGTGGAGGGAGATTATAACAAACAACCATTTTTGAGCTAATAAAAAATGCAAATGGACTTTACACTTGCTGAGGCTGCAGTTTGTCATGGTACTTGAATACTGGGAGAGTGATTAGCTTGTGCGTGTGATTGCGAGCCCTACAATCAAGCTTATCGCGGCCCATGACACTCCCGGGCACTATTAGGTGCCTAGTTTCTGTACGTTGGTAAAATCATTCACCATTTTCGGGAAATGTGTTGAACAAGCTGGTACCGCTAGTACTATACTATCTTTGCTTACAATGTGAAAGATTTATTTCACATTCCATGAGATGTGTTTACAACCCTCCCCCCGAAAAGGGTTCCCCATAACACCTTCTATTTTGTACGGTAATATATTTTCCCACCAAAACGTTACTCTTATCAGAATTTTGCAATTTTTTAAAATCATTTTTTAAAACTTGTCACTGAATAAAAGAAGCTCAAAACAAATAGCAGGTGTACATGAAAACGATGACGCAGCAGAGACGCTACACCGTGATGCCACGCAGCTGGTGGTGTTCAGTGGAAAATTACAAAAGCTTTGTGCTGTAGTGCCATAAGGTATTTTCAAAAAGTGAGAAACTTTTTTCTTTGTTCGTTTTTATGAAGTATGGTGTTTTTTTTCAAATTTGTCTTTACGAGATATATTTTTCCCAAGTTCGTTCTAATGAGATCTGTATTTAGAAACTTTTTTTTTCAATTTTTGGAAATAGATCATTTTCACAAGATATATTTTTTTGATGAAGTTTGTTTTTTGTGAGACATATTTTTTCAAAGTTAATTTTCAGGAGATATACATTGTCAGGTTTGGATTTATTTTTCACAAAAATAAACTTCATAAATATACCTCATAGAAACGAACTTACAAAAATCTAAAAACGAACTTGGAAAAATATTTGTCGTAAAAACGATTTGATTTCAAAAATAGAAACAACGTTTCTATTTGTAGATCCTACGGGATTTTAGGCACCGATCTGGAGAATGTGTAGGCCTATCTCGAACAAACGAACTTGGGAAAAAATATACATGTATCTCGTGAAAATGTAGTTGAAAAAAAATATACTTCAAAAAACGAACTTGGGAAAAAATGTACACGTCACCTTTTGAAATATGTAGTTGACGGCACTCCCGCATGGGTTCTTGTATAAAATAACTCAAAGACTCCAACTAATAATCTTCTTTAGCCTTTTCGCAAAAACTGAGGTTCAATTTGCACCAAACCATTACTTTAAGTTGGGCAATAGAGCCTGAAAGTTAACCCCTGATGGCGCGCTTCCGGAACCCTTGGATAGGAAAAATAAGGTGTAAAGACTTTAGAATGTGAAATATTTTTCGTTCAGTTACTTCTTAAAAAATCCAACTCTGGAAAGGGGCTTTGGAGCATATTTGCCAATATACCAATTTATAGAAACTGAGAAATTACCTGACCTAAAAGAGAAATATTCTGCCTCGAATTGACCCATCAATTCCGAAAATCTAAAATAAATGAAAACAGTTCAACGAGGCGGTCTTGTGCGCAGATGAACATTTACGGTTTGATATTTTGTGGTAGTCAGTTGGTAAAAGCCGAAATAAAACAGATCGGAATATTTTACACCCTTTTTTTAATTTATAAGGTAACAAAATTAAAGCAATAATTTATTTTCGCTAAAGATTTTAATAGTTTATTGAACCTTTGCTGACAATAACTGCGTTATGTCAACTCAACGGAACCTGGAACCCATCGACTGCGGGTAGGTAAATCTTTGCAACGTTGAACAAACGTGCATGAACAAGGAGACATGGAATTTGGTCAAATTTGTACCCAATAATCGAACAAACTTATTGCCTAACTACTGTTGGTTAAAGTTTGGCCTGGCTTCTGGACCAGTTGATATTTGACCCAACATTGGTCAAAAATGTTGTATAAACTTTGACCAACTAGATTTGCAGTGTCCCCTTACGATATCGCCAGACATGAAGGGTCGTTAATGAGATTCGTTTTTACCCATTTTCAGGTGACTTTTACTAAATATTACTTGAGGAAGACAAAGGTAAAGTTCCATTATGAGAGTTTCATGGGGTGGTTTCAGTTAGGAATTATTCTTCCAAACATTTTCGAACGTGATAGAACGGCCCGATGCTCAATGTAAAATCTCTATAGGCGGACCGCGTGAGGGTTCCGGAAGCTCGCTGCGTGAACTTTTACTTTCAGGCAGGCTCTATATCATATTCTTGATTTTCACGAATCTACTGGAAATAACGAGGCTGATACGTCACCCAAGGCACACTTGGTATTTTGGGCATTAAAAACAAGTGACATTAACAGTTCGTGCATTAAAAAATCTGCCTTAAGTAGCAGCAGTGTTTCGAAAATATACTTCGCCTGAAACGTGTTCAGTAACATCAACTGCTGGGACGAAATCTGAAATTGATATTTTTATTCCTTATTAAATTAGTTCTCCTTGGTACGTGAAACCGCTGAACAGTATTGCATCGATCACAGGTTCAACTGCACTTCGACCTGTGTTCGCCATGAATCAGCACGTTACAGGAGCGAATACACACCCGATGAAGCCTGAAGAGTAGGCCCTGTTTGAACACGTACCATGGTTTCGGGCGAAGGTTGAGCAAATGCAGAGTTGCAGTGTCAGCGATTTTCAAATCTGATAAAAGTGATAATAAAGCTGTTGATTCACCGGGATTCGTTCTTTCTGCGCTTCGCAGCAGTTGCAGACAGAAGCAATTTATTTGTCAGCGACGACGATACAGTGTGGAAACAAAACTAACATGGCGCACGGACCCGTAGAAGTCAAATATACACAGGTATAGTGTGCATATTTCTTTCAAACACACGGTGGATGATATTTCAGTTTTGTTTTATCTCAGAAACACGCCGCAGCTTTAAAGCCTGAGATTAAAGTGAAGACCAGAGAGGAAGCCTTGAAAATTATCGTTCAACTGAGGTTAACATCACTATCAGCGGTGCTTATTTGATCGACGAATGAAACTCACATTGCGTGGTGTCTGCGCACATATACGGCTTCCGAAGACCACCATGTAGTCACAGGGTACACAAACCTGAGATAGTCGCTCTTATTAACAGTTAACTTCCAAGGTTTCAAATTTTTAAGGTCTTGGTCTAGGGCCTTAAGTTAAACGAATTTTAACGACTTCGACTTCGTTATTGATGACATTCTCGATATCCATTTCATCTTGTTTTTCAACCACCAGTATAGATCTATATCTATTGGTTCTAGATATGAATAGTATGTGTTTTGTTTTTCTTTTGGGGCAAGATCTTCATTAACAATGAGTTTGTCAACTCAGTGAGCGGAAAGACCTTCCCGACAATCAACCCATCCACGGGTAAGACGACATGCGATGTTCAGGAGGGAGATAAGGTAAGGCCGGCAAATTCTCACGCAATTCTGGTAGGACCTTGTGTCTCGGTGACTGAAGAGTTTTGATAGTTTTGTGTTGGTAGCTGGCTGGTAGCCCTAAGTTTCTTTCGTCGAAATTCGTTGAACACCTCCCACCCCTGAAGTAGGTGTTTCCCATGAATTCGACCTCCTTTATGCTAGACTTAAGAAACATATTGTAAATCCTAACATGGATCCTTTCACCCAACGCTGTCGAGTGTAAGTGTATGAAGGGGTATGATTGCTACCCAAAGCAACTTCGACCGAGACATGTTCGCGGTGTTCCATGAAGATTTTCATGGAGACAAAAGTGCAGTATTGCAGTTTTTTCAAAAGAGGTCAGGGATATGAGTGATATGACGATGATAATGAAGATAACGCATTTGCCAATAGAGACTGACCTTGATTTTATTAATAATAATTTATTCATTTATAAAGCGCAAATTTCCTATAGATCTGTTCAAATGCGCTGTACAATAAAGACATTAAACATGGAAAAATGAATACAATTAAATGTGGTTGAGCCGATGGCATACAAGGGCACCTCGGGCAGCCGCCAAACGACCCACATTCACCAACATCAGTAAAGGGGAGACAGTGAGAAGCACTTACAGTTTTAGAGGTGGGAGGAAAACCCCAGAGGAATATTCTGGGTAAAACCCACGGAGTCAGGGAGGGACTGAAAAACCCAATCCACATGTGGACCGGGCCGGGAATCGAACCCGGGACCACAGGGGTGGAAGGCGAGGAAAGAACTATCTTGCCAACCTGACTCCCCAATTTTATCGTGTAATTAAAGTTATGAGATAATACTTTATCTTCGGAAGGTACCAGTAGTCCATAAATAAAAGGTGGGTCTACAAACACCACGTTAGAAAATTAAAAAAGTGGTTTTAAAATTTTCATGGTAGCAATGTGCATAAAGTTGTGTTGTACGTTTTGATAATTAATGCACTCTCGACGTAGCTCTGGCTCATTCGTCAATGGCGTGTAAAGTGCGGGGAAGAACATGCCCCCAGAGGAAGTTCGCTCCCCAATGCTCATTCACAAAACATTCAAATGTGCACCCATGGCGTAAATACCGGGGGATGGGGGCAAATATCCCCTCCGCTTTATGACCAGGAGATGGGTCATGGAATCATTCCCCCACTTTTTCGTAGTAAGGAAAACATCAAGATGGATTAATGAAGAATTTTTTGGACCGGTCAACCACAACCTAAATATATTCAATTGCACACAAAAGTGGAGAAGAAAAAAACCATTAATGTGCCATTCTGATGTAACATTCTGCAGGAGTTTAATAAATATCACAGATTTACATAAGTATAGCATCAACATCGCCCCCATAAAGTGCCATAGGTGTCAGCACCCCCTCCACTTATCAACTTTCCATGGCCAGTGAAATCATCCTAACCCCCCAAATTTGCACATCCTCCCCCCCCCTATTTTCTGCTCAAATTTAGGCCACTGATGTGAACAACTTTTTTACAAACTACCCCTTCAGTGTTTCGTTGAAAGTAATGTGTGCACCCGAGGTGAGCTCCCCACGAATTTCACCCTATTTACGCCACTGCCACTCGCATCCCCGAGAAATAATGTCACCGATCTCCCATTTTCATCTCACGAAAGGCGGACGCTGACAAAGCAGTCCGTGCGGCCCAGGATGCCTTCAAGCTGGGCTCGCCGTGGCGACGAATGGACGCTACGGGCCGCGCACGACTGCTGAATAAACTGGCGGACCTCATCGAAAGAGACCGCGATTACCTTGTGGTAAGAAAGTTTTACACAAATGGGCTGTCGATTGGGGAAACAATGGGTTACTCGCATGCCTGCATCGGGAAAACACTTCAAATAAACAATCAGAACATGGTCGAAAAAGATGGAAAACACTGTTGATAGATAGTTGGTACTACCTCAGCTGATGGAAAATACAAGTAAACTTACAACTTCTTTCAAAGTGTAAGCAGTTGATACTTAGCTCAAAAGGAATCAAAACGCAAAATTCAGGACCGTAAAAGGTTGTATTTTCACTCCAAAAATGTCTTCCAGAACTTAGAGATTATGGACAACGGCATGACAGTGAAGAACGCAACGGGTTCTGTTATGGGTTGTGTCGGTTTCTTGCGTTATGGGGCTGGCTACGCTGACAAACTTCACGGCAAGGTCGTACCTCTAGGTGAGCTAACTAGTACCTTTTACTTTTACTTTTACTCCCGAAAACGGGAGCTTACTATCCAAAGTGGAATCATATCTACAAAAAACAGTAGCTGCAGTCTAAATTATGTGGTTTCAGTATGAGGTGCATTAGAAGAAGAATTGTATAAACGCCAGCATTCCTAACAAATGGAAATATCATGTTTGATGGAGGTTTTTTCAACGATATATTGTCTTCCTGGAGTAACACAAAGGAAGCTCTAATTCAAACAATCCTGTTTTGAAAAACAACCGGTTTTCAGACATGACCAGTTGACCTTTTTCAGTATTGTGGCTGAAGATTTCCTTCTGAATCTGTTCTCATTTTAAGAGCGCTGCGCCAAAACTTAGAAACCTTTGACGCTTTAAATTAATGGAGCAAGGACTTTTTGTATGGTCTTTATCGTCCATACCATGGTTGGCCTCTTTTCTTGTTAGATTCATTAATTCACCGTCGGCTACTCATACTCTTACAGATGGGGATTTCTTCTGCTATTCTCGCTACGAGCCGATCGGCGTAGTGGCAGCCATCACTCCCTGGAATTTCCCCTGCCTGTTGACTGGGGCGAAGCTCTCATGCGCCTTGACCGTGGGCAACACCATCGTCGTCAAGCCGGCCGAACAGAGCCCGCTCACCATTCTGTACATCGCTGCACTCTCCAAAGAGGTAAGATTCACCATTCATTCGGTTGCCCAGCGCTCGAACAGGGTGCTGGGAAGGGCTGGTGGCCATGCAGGAATTTTAAGTGAAGGAAATGAAATACATCACACGGGGTCACGGCTAACGACGCGTAGAGCATTGTGGGTAAATTCTACCAGGCGTGCAATCTCGCTCAATGTAGCGGTTATCGATTCGATTTTCCCCCATTGCTGAACATATTCTCACTGCACTTTCTTAGTTCATCCAAAATTGATCAAGATAACCAATGATTTGAAATATATTGCCGAAAGATACGTGATCAGTGATACCTAGTGAGAAGATAAATTACCGTGATTGTACGAAGGCCATGTTTTTATCATATTAATCGAAACTTTGGCCAGTATCCATAACTCTTCGCTAACAGGAAGTGATAACCTCGTCGTCGGAGGTCGTGCACAAAGTAGCCATTCACAGTGCAAAGCCACCAGCCCTACCCAGCGCCCTGTTCGGGCACTGGGCGAAGAGCAAACCATGCCTTAATACCAAAATATAGAAGGATTTCGCATCGAAATGTATACACAAGGTGGAAAGTACCAGAGGAAAGGTTGTGATCATTTTTGTACAGCGTAAGATTTTTGGGGGGGGGGCGGGGGAACAATATTTTCTGGTGGCAGCATAATATTTTAATGGCCACCACTTATTAAGAAGAAACATCATACTTACCTCAACTGCAGGGCCTAGAAGTTCTGTAACCTTTTTCAGATCCTAATGTCCGAATTAAGGTAAGTGGCTGCCGACAGGTAATGTGGCGGCCTCCAGGTAATAAATAAATAACTGCTAGAAAATCGCATTATCCCCTTGTCACTATTCGGCTTCCGTACAATGTCGCTGTACCATTCCTGTCGGTGGCACAGCTTCAGCAGATAATAGATCAGAAGGAACAAAGGTGAGAGGTCAGTTGATCTGGTATGAATTGAGTGGAGGGTACATCATAAGGGAAAATAACAATATGAAGGATGAACGTGGCTGGAATCCTGGATGATATTTCTAAATTCTTTCCTTTTTTCTTGTTTATTTTCAGTTTGCCTCCGAGCAAATGAGGTCATTTTTGAAACGACATTTAATTTCCTGCCCAACTTCAAATTTTTAGCCCAGAAAATCTGTTTTATTCAAGGAAGAGCACTCACTTCAGCGCATTCTTGACCCTGAGATTCACTTAAAGCATAGCTCACTCATCGCACGGATAATAATTTCACGTTTTGAATGCTGGCATTTTGCTGAAAATTTGTCAACAGCAATGGGTTGTTCGAAAAATTGTCTCCTTCATTTCAGGCTGGTTTTCCTCCCGGTGTTATCAACGTAGTGCCCGGCTATGGACCAACAGCCGGCGCAGGGTTGACTAGCAATATGGATGTTGACATGGTGACCTTCACTGGTTCAACCGAGGTAAAGATTAAATAACTTTCACAAATAGGGCATACTTTCCCACTACATGTTCTGCGTCAACTTTCCTCGACTCGAGTTTTCCAGGATATGAGCCTCGAGCTGGACCAAGAGAGGGCGCAAATTTCTCAGCAATGGAGACTTCTTTGGTCGGTACTGAAGTTTGCTGGTTCACAAATGACTATTAATTGCATGCGTTGCTGTCCATCGCTACCAACAAAATGAACACTGCCGACTTGTATGGCTCTTTTGAACCAATGAGGGGGTACTTCTGCTCGAGGCAAATAGTCATCAACTAACCTTTCATGACTCTGTCTTATCCATAGTTGGTGCTAGAATATAAGCTATACTGTTTCTAACATTCAGTCCCGTTTACGTTATTGTTGAACTTGATAGTGAAGATACTGTTGATGGTGAGGTAAAAATGTCCTTTTTTGAATACTGAAAAGTTCTACGGTGGATGTTAACATGGGGCGTCTGTGTGAACGCCTTCCTTTGTAGGTTGGACGTATCATACAGCGAGCTGGAGCTGACAGCAATCTGAAGAAGATACATCTGGAGCTGGGTGGCAAGAGCCCCAATGTCGTCTTTGCAGACTGTGATCGTAAGAAAGAACTCAAAATCTGCATAATCAATTGTTCCTCCATGTGTAATCTATTTTATGCTTGTTCATTCTTTAAAATCCTCTTGCTTGTCAGTGATAACGTCGTAAGGCTCTCATAGACTTTGCGTTGCAGTGCTATGAATCTTGTATCATATACATTACCAAATCTTAAACTGCTTTTTACATAGTACACGTTCATTGTGTAATATTGCATCCCCATTTCCCTCAATGGGTCCACTCCATCTCTTTTACGTTCTCCGCTAATGCTAACATTTTCTGTTTAGATTTCTCTTTATTGACGATCTAAAGAATCGGTCATGAATGGATCATAAAAACAGCAACCCTTTTATCTTTTGTTTGAACTTGAAATTAACATTTACATTATATTTCTTTGGGCAGTCGACTACGCAGTGGAGCTAAGTCACTGGGGCGTTTTCCTCCATTCCGGTCAAGTGTGCTGTGCTGGCACCAGGACCTTTGTGCAGGAGGACATCTATGACGAGTTCGTCAAGAAGAGCCGAGAGAGAGCCCAAAGGCGGGTGGTGGGTGACCCGTATGATTTGAAGACCGAGGGTGGACCTCAGGTGGGTACTTTCGCCTAAAGAAAATGCTTCAAGGGGCTAACTTATACGCTAATGCATGCGCTCAATTGAGCCAGTATTTTTAACTGGACCATTTAACATCGTGTGTCAGAGTTGCAGATGGATGTTGAAACCCCGCCCCCCCCCAAAAAAAATGGTTGGCAGCAACTGTACGGTGACTGCTACTACCGTTCATTGGTACGATTAACCATTCATTCTAGTGAATCCCCCCCCCCCGGTCTGGGAATAGAGACATAAAGGGCGATAGTGTTCTAGAGACCTAATACTGCAAAAGTTAGGACTGCATAATACAATATCATAACAGTTACGTAAAACTACCTGCATAAAATCGAGCTAGAATACTGAAATTTAATAAAGTATACTTAGAGTTAGAATACTGAAATTTAATAAAGTATACTTAGAGTTAGAATACTGAAACTTAATAAAGTATACTTAGAGTTAGAATACTGAAATTTAATAAAGTATACTTAGAGTTAGAATACTGAAATTTAATAAAGTATACTTAGAGTTAGAAAACTGAAATTTAATAAAGTATACTTAGAGTTAGAATTCTGAAATTTAATAAAGTATACTTAGAGTTAGAATACTGAAATTTAATAAAGTATACTAAGAGTTAGAATACTGAAATTTAATAAAGTATACTTAGAGTTAGAATACTGAACGTCAGTAAAGTATACAGTATGATAAAAGACAGCAAGGGCAAAATAAATCCAGACCGTGTATAGTAATACGAGGAGATGTTATAGCTGCGTTGTGCTGCACTCACGCATGCGTTCTGCAACATGACATGAGCGCGTATATCAGGCAAAATAGGCCTACCTTGTTGGTCGAGAAGGTCGCTTATAATGTCCACGTTTCACCTGTGCAAAAGCGCTGTGCCACCCAATTCAAACAGTGGCTTCTAATTGTTGTTACCGAATTGAACAATAGCTAAACAAACTTTGATAAGCCGGAAATATGACGTAACTTCTGTTCCGCACGAATTTGCTATGTTAGTACATGTACACATCACCGCCGAACTGCAGTGGACCAAGAGAGCTGGACCAAGAGAGGACGCAATATTTGTTAGCAACGGAGGCTCTTCGTTGGAACTGAACTTTGCTGGTCCACGAATGTCGAGGAAATGCGGTCGCGCCGCTTTCCCGGCACAATGAACACTCCCTACCAACATGGCTCTTTTCAACCGATTATTCCACCCTGAATAGAAACACCCCTGATCAGTTGAGAAGAGCCATGTTGGTTGGGAGTGTTCATTTTCTTGGTAGCAGTTCCAACCAAAAGAGCCTCCGTTGCCGAGAAAATGTGCGCTCTTCGGTCAGCTCGGGGGTCATAGAGGCCACGGAACTGCTTAACCAACAGCGAAAATACCAAGTAAAGGAATATACGTACACTCGTAGAAATGACATTAAAGTACAAAATTAGTTGGGATTGCTGTACGCTCCTTTCTTCCATTCATCAACAGACGGTCTGTAACTTAAAACAATGATTAAATTACATTAAATTAGTCTGTAATTGAGACTTTAAAATGATGCTTGTGCTAAAATTCTACTCATTAGGCCTATACGTTAAATTATTATATATTATTGCCCATCCTTTACCTGCATTTTAAGATTGATCAAGATCAACTAGACAAGGTATTGGAGCTGATTGAAAGTGGCAAGAAAGAAGGAGCTACGCTCGAGTGTGGAGGAAAACGCTTGGGGGAGAATGGATACTTCGTAGAGAGCACCGTCTTCTCCGATGTGAAAGATGACATGCGCATTGCTCAGGAGGAGGTTAGGCCCCTCATTGTTGTCAACATCGCCAGTATATTTGCAGAAGTACCAAGCAAGATTTGCAAAAGTATTCCAATTTTGTTGAATTTTAAGAAAATTCCAAAAACATTACTGGATTTACTTAATTCCGTGATACTTTTTCTTGTTCAGATTTTTGGGCCTGTTCAGCAGATTCTGAAATTCAAAACCATTGAGGAAGTAGTTGAGCGCGCCAACTCAACGACATACGGTCTGGCTGGTGCAGTGTTCACTCGGGACATCGACAAGGCCTTGGCTGTAGCTAATACCATAAGAGCCGGTCTTATCTGGTAAAATAAGGTTTTTTTAGTATTTATGAAACTCTGCTTTTTTTTCTTCTTGGGTATCACTTGTATATAAGACTTACCAACAGTGCATTGCTCAAACCAACGTCAACATATTAATAAGAAAATTCCGTCTATGTTACCAACGTCCATTTGATACGAACATTCCTTGTTACCCATTTGTGGTGCTAAAAAGAAACCCGAATTCAAAGATAGTGCATGGACAATTTAAATTACTCGAAAGTAGGTATGAAGATATATTAAATAAACTCTTTGGCTCAAAAGAATGTCAGAGTAACAAAGCGCACGTACAGCACGTTATTGCTTATCCCCGCCAAATATAAACAATACCAACAAATTTAATGTTTCATTTTTTCTTTGAATTTTCCAACTTGCAAGGGTAAACAATTACGGTACTTTCAGCCCCATGGTTCCATTCGGTGGATACAAAATGTCCGGCGTCGGCAGAGAAGGGTGAGAATTTTTCTCTGTTTTGTTGTGTTTGTTTTTGAAATTAAAAAAACTCAAAATATGGAGGGCCTTACGTTTCGATCCCAGCAGAATCTTTCGGCTAGGATCGCAACGTCAGGCCCTCCATATTTTGAGATTTGTATTTTAGGTCATTGTTGTCAGCAAGTAGTTTGCAGCAGTTTTGTATTACATATCTTTGAAATAAGAAACCTTTAAATGAAAGTCTTTCTCCACAAACGTTTCCTTCAAGCATGATAATAACACTGAATTATTCGCCATCAAAGAACTTGAAATTCTAATTAGTATGATTGAAATGCTTTTCATTATATATCAGAGTGATGCATATGTTTTGGTACATTTACTTCGCTCCAGCTGAGAAGCAACTTTAGTTTCGTGCATTTTATTTGAAATTTTATAAATCACCAGTCATCGGTCTTTGAACTGGCATAAAACGTGCCCGGTGGTGTCTGTACGCTTTGAACTTTGGACAAGTACTTCATGAAGGAGATGTGTTGCTTATTAGTAATACGCTAACACTCCGTTGGCACCTATATGAGTAACAGTTCGCGTAGCATTTTTGGCGTAGTTGTCTGCCAATCAATCCAATTCAGAAAAAAAAAACACCACAAAATTAAATTGGTATAATGAAAGTTGGGTCCGCAGAGCTCCGTGTCGGGAGCAAGTTTGATAATCATGCACTGTGTTGTAGTTGCGCTCGACTTGAAAGGCGTGATGGCCTCTGTGATAATAGCACCGCGCTGATAATGTAGATCAAAGTATCACCATTGTGGTGAAAGAAATCTTAAACTAACAGTCTGTATATTTACCATTTGCATACATTTCATGTAACTGTACTTTGTCCATCTACAGGCCCAGGGATAGCTATTTCACCCTCAAAAAATATGTCTTGTAGAAATGTGAAATTCTATTAAATAAGATAAAATAAATTCAAATTACATGCGCGTAAATGTATTTTTTTCAATTTAATTTCTTTTCACGTTGCCGCTTAACTATAGTTATTAAAATACCTCAAAGCAGTGTTTCGCTTTTTGTTTGAATTGTCATGAACAATTTTCTGTTTGCTTTTATAGCGGTGAAGATGGGTTCAAGGAATATTGTGAAGTCAAAACTGTAAGTATTTTATACATATTGTATTAAATTGGAAAGGGTTGGGACCTCATCAGAGATGCAAAATTGTTCGGTATGAAAAAAAATATATATAAAACTACCAAAAAACACAGCAATATATAATCATACGGCGTGTGGTAAGACATTAGGAAGCGTTGCCTCATGTCATCTGACTTTGTTCGTTTGTCCGTAGGGGTGTTTGCTGTTTGTCATCTTTCTGATCATGCAATAAAGTTTTTGTCGCACACTGTATCTTCGTTATGAATATCTTTTTTAATAACTTAAATCATACTGATTTCATTTCAGGTCGTCATCAAAGTGCCTGAGAAGAACTCTTAGATGCTCTCAAGTTTTCCCCACAGAGCCTTGATGTTTATCCTCTTGAGATTCTATTATCTTTAACCGCCAAATTTAGCAATTAAATGTATTCAGGTTAAGGCTAAAAAGAAGGGGGAGGAGAGGCGCTTATAAGATTTTCTTTTATCTCGTTTCGTTTTCGGAAAGTGTACAAAATCAAACATTTGTTTTTCACTGAGCCCAATGAATTAGCATCATAATAGTGGCAAGAATGAGGATAGTTTTCCTCGAAGGATTATGCTCAACTTCAAAATCCATTTATTTGGATGTACTGTTTGTGTCATCCTTGATGGACAGAATAAAGAGGGTTATATGTGTGTTTTGGGTTTTTTTTTAGTTTCTGGGGCAGGATGAGTGAATACTTACGAGTTTTGGCCAAAAACCTTCCTCACATTTTGACCATCTTCATAAAGTGCAAACCTGACTAATTTGTAATATCCAAAGGCGGCAGTGACTTACACCTTACCATTGCAAACGAACATTTTTAGCAAAGGTGCACCTATTGTACTGGATATCAAAATAAAACAAAATGGAGGGGAAACCGTAGGGCGAAACTTTGGCCATTTGCTCATCTTTTAAATGGAGGAAATAGAAAAAAGACAGTATGCGTTTATGTCCCCAGTAAAAAATTAACATGTTGGCTGCACCCCGTATTCATTAAAGTGTACTCCATTGACTTCATCTCTGTAAACATCGCTGGTTCTGCTTTAAATTTACGTGTTTTTTTATTAAATAGCTTTAGGGTTTGCTGTTGGAACTAAAAATTTCACCTAATTTTCGCACATGCAGTTATTGTAATATTGTTATAAACACCAAGTTAAATAATAGGATGATTCATTTGGATATAATTAATTACTGGTAAATTTCTTATGAATATCGCTCGTGTATCCTCGTCCTTTCCAATTGCAGTTGACAAAAAATACAGTTTTTACTACATTTAGCATTTCTGCGCAAGATGTTATCAAAACTACACAAAATAAAAAAAATAACAATAAAGAAATGAAAACAAAAAAGTCTTTAAAGGTATCAGACTTGAAATGGTAAAACCTTGGACAACTGCATATGATATAATAATACTTTTATAAATAGAATAACGTTACGTCATGACATCTGACTAACACTTAAGTAGAAACCTGACAGAGATCAATGTTTGGATGGTTTATTTATACTCATTTGTTTTAATTCCTATTTTTACTTCATTTTTTCCTGTTGCTACTGTGGGTGTTTCGTGCTCAAGTTCTGCTTCTCTGTTCATGAATGTAATGCCGATTTATTCGAGCATGGCCTAGTCATTCAGTGATGTACTACACCGCTAACATTTACCATTGGCTATAGAGGATAAAGATATCAACCGCAGCTGTAACAATCCAGCCTACCTGATTGATCCAGTAGAGTTCTTAATTCGAATAAATTCAGCAGACGAATAAACAGCTGAAATAGGTAACAGAAAAATTATTTAGTTGGACAGTGATTAATATCAGAGTAACAAGAGCTGTTTTAAGCGCCATCAGGCCATAAAACAAAGGGAGGGACTGAATACAAAATTGTAATGTATGGTGCAACCGGCCTAATTTTGTTTGAAAGGTAAAATGTTCCTGCAGTGTGACTTACTGAGCTGTTTGTCCTTGGCTTGCAGTAGAAAATCAACTCTGCACAATCCGCACACATGCATATTATATCAATTCTCGGTTGGTGACCTTGTCCTCTGTTAAACTGACAAAAAACTGTTTAACTGAAAAGTCTGATAACTAGAAGATGCTGGAAAATAAAATCCTTTTCTATTGACCTACACTCTAATTAGTGGGTGCAAAGTATCCCACAGCATACAAACACAAAGTTGGGACCTGGATCACTTCTAAAACTTCGTCCTCGTTGCAAAAGGGGCTTCACAAATGTTAAGATCCCTTTCAACAGAGACTGTACTTTCGTTCCACAGGCACTGAGGCATATATTTCCCCGCGTCGGACATTTAAATAAAACGTAGGGCAACTGTGTGATGCAGCAGGTATTAATTGTCATTCTTCGTGTTCAAATCCGATACCAGAACGTGACCGCTTGAGCAACTTTAATACCAAATGTCAAGGAATGAACTTCGCTCCAGTGCCGAAGCTATAATGAAGGCACATGCGAATATGCACCAAAGGCGTATTTGATACGATTCATTCGCAGCCGTACTCGGTCAAACAGGCTAGATAATTGAACTGTATTCAGTACATTCACTATATGAGATCATAGGGCAAGTTTCCCTGCCACCCTAGTACCTGCCTTTGTCCTTTTGCTGTGGGTAGATTGATACGGTATTGAGTTCATCGTACATACACCCATCGTCTGATGAGAGGTTCTTAAAACACAAACGGCTGATTCAAAAGCCAGATGCTTTGTTTGACCAGTTACGACTATGTTTTCAAGTCTGACATTTCTACGGTAAGTTCCCATCCCAGGCTGATGTAGTCTGAGCATGTGCAAAATCTGGGAGGGGGATATATGTCCCCCACTTGCTGGGGGCTATTTAATCATCCCTCTCACTTGTTCCTGTTGAGAAAGAAATAAAGCGTATCAAGAAGAATTGTTCGGACTAACAACCTAAATGTATTCAATACCACTCACACAGGGAGAACAATTTTAAAAAGTCATTAATATGCCGCTCTGGTGTAAGATTTTGCACGAATATGACACATATTACAGATTTGCATCTGCATTATGAACATCGGCACCTATATACATGTAGTGCCTATGGTGTCAGCCCCCCCTCCCCGCTTTTCAGAATAACCTGGCCGGGCAAGTCACCTCCCTATTTCCCTCCCCCCCCATATCCGGCATAAATTTCCGCCACTCAGTCCGAGTACAGGGCGTAGGGTCCAAGTAATTAGAACTCTCACTGCCTTTGAAGTTTTCAACAACATTTCGACAGGATTTTGTCTTTCAGCGGGAAGGTCGTCTGTATCACAGGTGGTGGATCGGAAATTGGCTTCACCTTTGCAAAAGTATTAGGCCTATGAGGTGCAGAAGCGAAACATCAGGGACATCATTGATTAATAAGAGCAAAAATAAAACAAACGAAATACAATGACAATGGCAACAAACGGTTTTATCACACGGGCAATTTTCCTCATTTTCCGCACGTTTTTCCTTGAACTTTAACAAGCTAGCATTAAATGATTTAAAGCAAAGTAAAAATTAATCCCTAAAGCTCTTCAGAAGCTCCTATAAGACATGTAAATTTTAAATCATAAACTACGTCCTAAAAGTGAATTATCAGTATTTATTTGAGTAGAATGTATTTTTTTCCTTACACAGGCAGGAGATTATCACCAAGAAAAATATTTACTAAAGTAACTGAAAAGTGGCATGGCCGCCGCGCTAACCGACAGTAATTGAATGCCTAATGAAGATCAATCTGGTCAGAGTTCATTTACACTAGATGTGCGTGGAAACACGCGCCTTCGACTCCCTCAACATTTTGACCATTGCTCTCCATGTCTTTTAATATGGAGATCAATTATTCTGACGTACATGGAATTTCAATATATAGAAATACATAGATTCGAAAATAAACGCGCCTCCACAGACATGATTCGCTTCCTGAAAAAAATGCCTTTGCCCGTCATGTTTCACTTTTTGTAGTTTCACCTGACTTATACACGCAATTGTTTTGAAATTTATCTTTTTTCACGATATTTAGACCTCCCGATAAAATCCAAGATGAACAATTAGATGATTTGTTTTGTATAAAATTTGTGAAATAAAAGTTTGTGATCACTTTTTCATGTTAGTTAATATTGCTTGTATATCCTCATCCTTTCTGTTGTATGATCCATGTTTTGCCCCTGCAGTAGAAAAAATCGGCTCAGGCTACCACGGAGGAAGGAACACAAACATGGCTCTTACACACAATCCGCACACATGCATACGTCATTTCTTGGTTAATTAGTGACCTCGTCTTTTGTACTGAAAAGTCTGAGAAGATCGAGCTACGAACATGATTTTTTTTTTCGATTGACCGACTCTCGAATAAGTGGATCGATGCAAACTGCGAAGTCAGCATGCAAACAAACCCTGCACAATTTCGGAAATCGCGGCTTCGTCGCAACAGGGCGTATCAAATTTTAAGATCCCTCAAAGCAGATATAACGTGGCTTAGTTCTTGTTTTTCACGAGCACTGAGCATGCACATCATACTTCCCCGCCAGACATTTAAAACAAAAAGTAGTACAGTCGTACGGTATTGCAAGTATTAGTTGTCTTTCTTCGCAGTCAAAACCGAACCACAATGTGTGACTTTGCTTGAGAAATGCCCAATGCCCTTGAACTTCGCTCTACTGAAGTTGTGATTGTAACTGTACTTGTAAGCGCGCGCTTACACACACTTTAGTTCCATCTGATACGATTCATTCACAGCATCAAGCCAGCTAAAACCAACTGAACTACCATGGAGATAGGCACATTCATATTTATAACATTTAGATCATAGGGCAAGCTTCCTTGCCACCTGCATCTGCACTTGCGTTGTGGGTAGATTGATTAGTCATGTTAGTTGGGTCCTGGTCGTGATCGAGTTCGTTCGTTCGCTTTCGTCTGATGAGAGGTACGTTCTGAAGTTAAAACGCAAATGGCCGACTCAACGCTAGATGCTTGTTTGACCAGTTACGACTATGTTTTCAAGCCCGACATTTTACGGTAAGTTCCAATCCTGGGCTGCTGATGTAGTCCGTGTATTTTCCTTCCTCCTTGGTCCGAGTGTAGGGTCTGAGTGATTAAAACTCTAATATAATAAGCTGCCTTTAAAAGTTCAACATTTGGGCAGGATCAGGCAATCCAAGGATCTTTGCCTCATTGCCTGTGTAGAAGAGTGAAAAATTCTGTTGCACCCCCCTAAATACCCCCCTAAATGAGAAAAGATTCATACATTTAGCCTGATCAGGCAAGCCCAGATGTCATGCTCAAGTGTTCCACAACATTCAGCCTGCAGCCTGGGATATGCTAGGCCTACATAAAAAGAATTAACAGGCATGGTACATAAGGAAAACTTACAGAATTGCAAGCATGGTGCTGCTCCGTGTGACTACCAGCCCACCAAGTTGTTATGGATTTGAAAGGATATGGGTTTATGAATTCACTAACGTCAAATCGAGGTACATTTCTGTGGGGCGTATATTCCACTTTCTCGATCAAACTTCCCCTAAAAAGCCATCGAAACTGGTGTTTATCTCTTTAAATTAGATGACCCATTTTATGGGGGGGGGGTAAAAAAAGGTGCTTTTTCTCACAACCCTCTTGTTTCCCAAACACATCACACACTTCGCGTGTTGGGTTTCTAGTAGTGATTTGCAGTTCTGTAAGGAAAACAGTGGAAGTACTTTTTTTGAAGTATTTTTTTTGAAGTATTTGGACTCGATTGACAGTATTGACACTTTAGCATTAGCAGAGCTTATGTTGCTTTTAGTAATTATAAGGATACATTTGGTAGCATTTAATTTCACAGTTGGTTGACCCATGGCTTTCAAAGTCTTCGTTTGATCAGATGGAACAAAAACCGTTAGAATTTAGATCTTTAATAGGATTCATTTTATGGTATTTTTCTTTCAGCGGGAAGGTCGCCTTTATCACAGGTGGTGGATCGGGAATTTGCTTCACCGTTGCAGAAGTATTCATGAGGTGAAGTAGTGAAACATCAAAACCCCAAACTATGGAAACTGCAACAAATGATTTTCATCCAACAATCATACTGCTAGCAACACTTACTTGGCTTATTAGCTGGTAACCTGCTCCTAATGTCTGCACATTACTTGCTTGGTATGCTTGGTATTATGTTCAGTGGCGTAGCTCAGATTTTACTAGTGGGGGGCACTAAGAGGGCACCAGCATCTTATGGGAGGGGTACCAGCTTTCATTGGTGTGGGTTAAGTATTTGTTAGCCTTGTTCAATATCCATTCATCCTTTTTTTTTCAGTGGGGGGGCTCCTGGGGGACACTGGGAATTTGTGGGGGGCATGTGCCCCCCCCCCAGTGGCTACACATGTGATTACGTCCTCTGTTTACCTACTTTTTACAGGCATCAATGTGACACAGTTATTGCCAGCAGAAATCTGAACAGGTTGAAAGAGGTAAGGCCTAGGCTATACGCCATGCTACTGCCGTGCCGAACTCAATTCAATTTCTTTAAGTTCGGCTTGGCAATAGCACAATGTTAATTGAATTTGGCACGGCAAGCCCTTTAACTCGACTGGGTATGCCGTGCTATCATCGTTCCAAATAGAAGTGGCATGACATTGCTCTATTTAAGTTTGGCATTTAGCGCAACTGCCGCGCTATTGCCCTGCTATTGTCGCATTCATTTGAATTAAGTTCGGCCCAGCAGTGGCACAGCGTCTAGTCTTGTCCTAAGTTTTCCCAACTGGCCTGATCATTTTAAGACTACAAGCATTGAACTTGTATATTTTCAGTATTTTGCAGTCCTTGAATTGGACTGACTGCGTTGCGTATCCCCATGGGTCTCTAACCTTTCTTGGAGGTGACTTTCATAAAAGGTTTATTTGTGACATTCCCTTGTGTTCATTAGGCAGCCAAGAGACTCGAGACTGCCACAGGACAGAGATGTCTGCCCCTTCAAGTTGACGTCAGAAAGGTAATTTGGAGGCCAACCCATCTCTTTTTGTAGCTTGTTGAAACCCTAAGACGCTCAAACTATAAAGAATGGCATTTAAATTGTTTTTCCTGTGGAATATACAGTTGGCGGCCAAAAATGTAATCTCAAGCTTGCTTACTTTTGTTGATATCTTGATGCTGAGTTATGAAAAGCATTTGTGACTGTATTTGAGATATGTTGCAAGCACATGCTTGCCTGTTTAATCATTTTTTTTTCCTACCACATAGCCAGAGGAAGTGTTGCGAAGTGTTGACCAAGCTCTCAGTCACTATGGGAGAATCGATGTCCTCATCAATGGTAAATATACACACAAACTTCACGTATCTGTTCCAGCCGTTCAAAACTCATTCATTCATCATGCTTCAATCAATAGATTACTAGCCCTGGAAGCAAATGCGCCTTTGATGTTGGGATGAACATAATGTAAGATGTTTACATCTCACAACACCTGTTTTTCAGGAGCCGCTGGAAATTTCCCGACTCCAGCCAGTAGACTCTCCTTCAACGGTTTCAAGACAGTTCTTGACATTGATGTCATGGGATCATTCAACATCTCCAAGGCTGTCTATGACAAGTATATGAAGGTAGGCCAAGGTTGCCAACATCTGCCAATTTTGTTCTCTAGCACAAATTGCAAACCAGCCAATTGTAAATAAAATAATTATGTACTGTTCAGTATGTGCCCACAGCTATCTATTTAACCCTCCTTTGCTGAAGTCACTCTTTGGGTCACT